TGTTCTGCTTAATTGTGGTTTGTGAGAAACGATCTCTAGCTCCTGGGCCCCACCTGTTAATCATCAGTAGGTAAACGTGATAGACCCCCACAGGCTTTGTTTTAGAATTTTTAATACATTGTGGTTTCTATGCCTGTCCTGTGAAATTCTAAGACTGGTCCTACACAGGTTGTGTATAGGGTTCTGAATGATTGTCTGTATAATGATATTAAAGGCCGTCTGGGTAACAAGTTCATTGTTTGGTGTATGTTGGTGGTATCCTGGTCATTTGTGCCTCCGGCGTCAAAGGTGGTGTTACAGCCATTCTCAGACCCTTCTCTGTCTCTGTCTCTCTGTCTCTCTCTCGTTCCTGCAACTTCATTCCTCATGTCGTGGCACCCTTCTGGTCGCCTTTTCCCTCTCTCCTTTCTCGTTACTATAAATTCACTTGACTTAAACTCTATAGTAGCCATTTGTTTGTCCATTTATGATGCACAGGACCTTCCGGAGTCGTCTGTAATCCTCCCAGTTCTTACTAGACTGCGGAGGAAAACATTGACATTGAGCATGTCAATGCTCCCTCGGAAACGTTGTTATTATTAATCATCAACAGCAGAGGTTCCAAGAACCGATGCTTGTAGGACCTCGATGGCTACTTCCCCGTAGGACCCCGCTGGCTACTTCTCCGTAGGACCCCGCTGGCTACTTCCCTGTATCCTGATATCTGCTCCTTTACCATGACTCTTGCCGTCTGTCATGTCCTCCCTGGATCAAGTACCTTCCAAGTGGCATTAAAACCTGTTTTTCATTTATCAGAACGGTCTACTCTGAACAACGGTAGTGTATATGTGAGGGAGGAAGGGGGTGGGAAGATTGGGAGATGCGTAAACGGAAACAGATCGTGGGTGATGAGGTAAGACAGACTGTGGTTAGTCACTGGACAGTTTTGGGATGACAGGTTGGTGGTGAATGACGTCACTACTTCCACTGGAGCTGTACACAAGGTGGCCCTCGTCCAAGACCCTCCTGGCCTCCCCGGCCTGGCAACGTCCACCACCACCACCTGCTGCTGCTGCTGTTATTGTTGATACTACTGCTATTGTTGCTGACGCTGCTGCTGCTGCTGCTATTATTGCTGAAGCTGCTGCTGTTGCTGACGCTGCTGCTGCTGCTGTTATTGTTGACGCTGCTGCTACTATTGCTGTTGTTACTGATGCTGCTGTTGCTGCTACTGTCGTGGTTGCTGGTGGTGCTGCTGCTGTTGTTGTTGTTGTTGCTGCCAAAGCATCTAGCATAACATCTGGAACAGTTGTACGAGTACGTGGTACTGGAACACAAGCGAGAGGGCAGGATGTCCTTACATGTAAAAGGACAACCACCGGTGATCTAAATAATTAAGGTAAATCTAAAATGTATCCGAGGATAAACGACTGGTTCCAAATCAGGGGCCAGATTCACGAAGCAGTTACGCAAGCACTTACGAACATGTACATCTCCTCAATTTTTGACGGCTTTGGTTGCATTTATTAAACAGTTTACAAGCATGAAACTTGCCATTCAACTGTTGTTATTGTTATAAACAGCCTCCTGGTGCTTCGGAGCTCATTAACTGTTTAATAATTGTAATCAAAGCCGCCGAAGATTGAGAAAAGATGTACAGGTTCGCAAGTTCTTGCGTAACTGTTTCGTGAATCTGGCCCCAGAACACAGAAATAACATCACACGAAGCATGGCAGGATGTGCAGAATACCCCCCTCCCCCCCCTTTGGAAAGCAGAGGTGCGGTAGGTACGCTGAGGGAGAACTCTATCAAAATCTAAAATGTATCCGAGAACAATACTGCTGAAAAAACTTTACTCAGTTGATTTGTAACAGAGAAATCTTATTATTGGGTTAATTCATTAGTGTCTATAGGGTTTAATAAGGTTTCATTAGAAACCTTATTATGGTTTTAATTTATTCGTTTCTCTACTGGATAACGACTATGTAAGTGATTCAACAATGTTATCATCAGATTTTCTATTTACATTAATTAATTCAAATATCATTGGTTCTCATTTTAAACATATAAGGGCATTCTACCCACTGACTTGTGTTCCAATAGCCTTTACTCTGACTACTGGTCCAGCTGTGACAGGCTAAATATATTGGCACATCCACCCGGAACTTCGAAATTAAGAAGTTGTGAACATAAAGGAGTGTCGTCTAGAACGGGTTTATTATCGAAGTTCTCTGAAATTAGTGATTACTCTCGAGAAAAGGATCATTTTCTTCTCCACGAATCTAGTTGCAAAATTGTGGATATTTGTAATAGGTTTTCTTTGATTTAAGAATAATGGTGTTTTTATATTACAGAACTTCGGCCTTTATTGAATAATTTGTAATAGGTTTTCTTTGATTTAAGAATAATGGTGTTTTTATATTACAGAACTTCGGCCTTTATTGAATAATAGTTCGTCTATGCAGCTTTAGAAATTTTTTTTGCATTGAAACCAATTTCTTTAGTGTCCCCTCTTTTCTAGGGTTAGTGTTTTTTTTTTTGTTTTGTTTCTCGTTTAGGTTGGGTAAGTTGTGTTTTGTCTTGTGGTTATTGGTAATGGAAATTAATGTTGATTAGTTATTTTTTATAATATTTTAATTTGAAATTTCAATTGTTGGTTTCGTCTTTATATGATGTTTTGTGTAAGTTTTGTATAGAATCGCAGAATCACTGTGGTTTTGTTTAGATTTTTGAATAATTGCAATTCTAAATATATTTATTTACTAATTTATAAACGATATAGTTATTTAGTCCTTATATGTTTTAATTGGCAAATCGTTACTTGGTTATCATTAGTTTTTGCTTGATTAATTATACCTGGCAATTTTTTTAAATTTATTTTTTAGCAATTATTGATTAATTGTATTTCGTTGTTATTTAGATCTGACGAACGCGAAATTGTTCGAAATTTTATACGAATTATTTTTAAATAAAAGTACTATTAATAAATATATCTTTGATATCCCCAAAGTCAAACTAAATCTGTGGAAACGCTATGCAAATAAAGGGACCTAGTCTATGGAACTTACACCCTAACGTGTTGAAAAGCCGTCCAACCTACGCCTTATTCAAAAATAAAAACAAAAAGTACTTGCTTTCATCATCATAGTTTTCTACCGAGTGCCTTAATAGTGCCTTACTATAGTGCCTTACTCGCACTATATCTTGTGCTATCCACTCCCCTAATATATGTGCCTAAGCCAATTAACTCACCATTGTAATCACTGCTATCATCTTATATCACGTTGTTATATCGAACGCATATTTTACCTAGAAATAATTATACTACATTATAGCATAATTTGAGGATTATTTCTAGGTATAATGTACCTGTTGATAATCCTCAAATTATGCTATAATGTACCGTATAAATAATTGAATTAGGACAGTCGGTGTATACATTTTACCAACGTTTGTTAAAAGTTGGTAATTTTCACATCAAAATCTTAAATGTAAGTGTGCTCACAGTACCCTGGGAGAGTGATATCTAATGTTCACAGTACCCTGGGAGAGTGACGTCTAACACAGTGTGCTCACAGTACCCTGGGAGAGTGACATCTAATGCTCACAGTACCCTGGGAGAGTAACGTCTAACACAGTGTGCTCACAGTACCCTGGGAGAGAGAGACGTCACTCTCCCAGTACCCAGGGAGAGTGACGTCTAATGCTCACAGTACCCTGGGAGAGAGACGTCACTCTCACAGTACCCAGGGAGAGTGACGTCTAATGCTCACAGTACCCTGGAAGAGTGACGTCTAACACAGGGTGCTCACAGTACCCTGGTAGAGTGCCGTCTAACACGGTGTGCTCACAGTACCCTGGGAAAGTGACGTCTAACACAGGGTGCTCACAGTACCCTGGGAGAGTGACGTCTAACACAGGGTGCTCACAGTACCCTGGGAGAGAAACGTCACACTCACAGTACCCTGGAAGTGACGTCTAACACAGGGTGCTCACAGTACCCTGGGAGAGAAACGCCACACTCACAGTACCCTGGAAGTGACGTCTAACACAGGGTGCTCACAGTACCCTGGGAGAGAAACGCCACACTCACAGTACCCTGGAAGTGACGTCTAACACAGGGTGCTCACAGTACCCTGGAAGTGACGTCTAACACAGGGTGCTCACAGTACCCTGGGAGAGAAACGTCACACTCACAGTACCCAGGGAGAGTGACGTCTAATGCTCACAGTACCCTGGGAGAGTGACGTCTAACACGGTGTGCTCACAGTACCCTGGAAGTGACGTCTAACAGAGGGTGCTCACAGTACCCTGGGAGAGTGACGTCTAACACGATGTGCTCACAGTAACCAGGAAGTGACGTCTAACAGAGGGTGCTCACAGTACCCTGGGAGAGTGACGTCTAACACAGGGTGCTCACAGTACCCTGGGAGAGTGACGTCTAACGCAGGGTGCTCACAGTACCCTGGGAGAGAAACGTCACACTCACAGTACCCTGGAAGTGACGTCTAACACAGGGTGCTCACAGTACCCTGGGAGAGAAACGCCACACTCACAGTACCCTGGAAGTGACGTCTAACACAGGGTGCTCACAGTACCCTGGAAGTGACGTCTAACACAGGGTGCTCACAGTACCCTGGAAGTGACGTCTAACACAGGGTGCTCACAGTACCCTGGGAGAGAAACGCCACACTCACAGTACCCTGGAAGTGACGTCTAACACAGGGTGCTCACAGTACCCTGGAAGTGACGTCTAACACAGGGTGCTCACAGTACCCTGGGAGAGAAACGTCACACTCACAGTACCCAGGGAGAGTGACGTCTAATGCTCACAGTACCCTGGGAGAGTGACGTCTAACACGATGTGCTCATAGTACCCTGGGAGAGTGACGTCTAACACAGGGTGCTCACAGTACCCTGGGTGAGTGACGTCTAATGCTCACAGTACCCTGGGAGAGTGACGTCTAATGCTCACAGTATCCTGAGAGTGTGCCGTCTAACACAGTGTCTGTCTTCTACAGGAGGCGACCTCTGCAGCCAGTAGTCGCCGCTCTCAGGGCTTCACGATGGTGTCAGCGGAGACCGCCGCCACCAATGGCGGGTTATCTGCCTCCACTAACCACACTGGTCCGCGGGCCCCGTCAATCACCATCCTCCACTTTAATGACGTATACAATGTGGAAGAACAGAGCACCGAGCCCAAGGCCGGAGCAGCACGGTTCAAAACGGCGCTCAAAAGCTTCGCCGACCGTCATCCCTTAGTGCTGTTCAGCGGTGACATTCTTGCCCCCTCGATAAGTAAGTTCAGCCCGGCGTCTTCTGTCTCTCATAATTATTCTTATTTGTCAAAGAAATTAGTTATAAAAATGTTTATTCAGATTGTATAAAGAGTTTTCTAAATATTTCTGGCTTAATTTTAACTTTCATAGTTTTAACTAGTTCATAGTTTTAAGTTTTAACTAGTTTATAGATTTATTGTTTTAACTATAATTTTAACTAGTTATATACATACATACAATATACACACATACCAAAAGAATAGGGGTGGTAGGAGAAGAAAATATGAAAGTGTTCAGTGAGGATCCACAAGGTCTAGCTCTAAGTACTCTTTATTTTCTTCTCCGAGGTTATGGGTTCCTACACTTGCACCAGAGGTGGTACCCCCTTCTAGGTTTAACTAGTTTATAGATTTAACTAGTTGATGCTGGTGTATTGGGTGTTGCAGTGAGCTCGTTCACGCGAGGAGAGCAGATGGTGCCTGTAATGAACCATTTGGGGATACACTGCGCTGTCTTCGGCAATCACGACTTTGGTGAGTTTTTCCTCTGATTTTTGTTGTTGTTCGACATTTTAGTTATTTTGTTAAGTTGGCTAAAGTAAATATATTGAAATTAAATTATTTCTTCTGGTGGAAAGCGTTGCTTTTGGTAGTATTTAACACAATTGCTTTTGGTAGTATTTAACACAATCGCTTATCTCTGGAATTTGAATTCACGCTCAATTAACTAACCTTTAAAAAGTAATTTTTGTATGTTTGGATAAAGGAGATAGTTTATCTAAGAGAAGCAGTGCGATGAGAATAAACATGTATAGGCCTACCTGCTATAGTCATATCACAAAATTTAATGTTAAAATAGTATTTTATGGTCTTTATATAATAAATAGCTAAATAAATAAGCTAAATAAAAATAAAGCTAATAAAATAAATAAAAATAAAATAAAGCTAAAAAATAAAGCTGAGCTAAATAAAGTCCATCTTTGGCTAACTGCCAACAAACTCACCCTTAACATTGACAAAACTTTCTATATTCTGTTTGGCAATAAATCCTCTAATCAAATAAATCTCAGAATAAACAATACCCAAATTTGTAACAAATTAGATGGCAAATTCCTTGGCGTTCTCATTGACCACAAGCTGAATTTCCAGGGACACATTCTAAATATATCAAAAAAAGTTTAAAAAACTGTTGGCATTCTTTCTAAGATCAGATATTATGTACCCCGCCCTGCCCTGGTAACACTATTACTCCCTCATCTATCCATATCTCAACTATGGTATTTGTGCTTGGGGCTCTACTACCCAAAATCATTTACGTCCTCTAATTACTCAACACAAAGCTGCTATTAGGACAATATCCAACTCTGGCCCCAGACATCACTCGGTACCCCTACTCAAATCTCTGAATATGCTAAATATTAAGTCACTGCACATTCTCTCATGTGTATTATACATATATAAAACGCTGAACTGTAATGCCAATCCTGACCTCAAAAGCTTCATAGAAGGTTGTAACAGAACCCATGAGCACCACACCAGAAATAAATACAGTTTTGATATTCCAAGAGTACGACTTAATCAAACTAGAAATGCTCTACAAATCAAGGGACCCAGAATGTGGAATGACCTTCCCAACCATGTTAAAGACTGTACCTCTCTCAACCAGTTTAAGATAAAAACGAAGCTATACCTAATAAATTCCCTGTAACCTACCTTACCCCTCTATTGTGAACCCATGTCTGTTTTTTTTAAATGACGCTGTTTGTCGACCGAATTGTATTTGTGCTGCTTTTCAGCCATGTTCCCCACTTTTTATTTCTTTTTATTTGTTCTCAACTCAGTTTATTCTTTATGCTCAATTAGTATTAAGCTTTAGTTATTTAAGTTTATCATGCCCGAAACGCTTTGCGTAATAGTGGCTTTAGGGGCCACCACTTTAGGGGGTATGTACTAGCCTTATCTACAAATCCATCATTCTTAGCTAAATGAATTGTGGGGTTCAGTTCCTGAGCCCATTATGTGCCTCTGTAACCCTTTTCACTACCGCCCACAAGATGGGTATGGGGTGCATAATAAATGAACTAAACTAACTTTGTAAAATCTCTTGTATGTACCTTACCTAAATAAACATTTATTTATTTATTTTATTTAGCTACTTCCTTTGAAACTAGGCCAATCCTAAGTTTCTTTTCATATTAATGTTTCTTGTCGATTGAGTTGAGAATGCCACTTGTGAGCCATGGATTGTTTAATCTTTTGTCAGTTACTGTACTTGCTTGGTAAGAAGGGGACAATGAAGGTTGTAGAGGCTTAGAGTTTTGGAGAGGAAGAGGTTAGCTAATGAATTTATATCCTGGGTATTATTGAATTCAGAATCCCAGTTAATATTGTGAAGTGCATCTGTAAGATTGCCTAAAGCTGATTCACTGTGTAGCCTAAATAAAAGTTTCTTGCTTTTTGGTGGTGTTATGTCCATGTTCGCTATGAGAAAGGTAGGATAGTGGTCAGTTGTTCTGTCGTAGATTATACCAGATACAAGGGGAGCTGTTATTGTTTACAGAGATTCATTCAGGACATTACTTGCAGATTTTGGCTTGGAAAGACTCATTGATGTAGCCGGAAGAACGAACTTCCCATGGTTGATGAGCAATGTGGACGACAATGAAACTGGTTTTCCTCTAGCTGATGGTATTCTTACACACATTATGGACTGGCATGGGTGGAAGATTGGATTGGTAAGTGAAATAATTTTTTTATATAGCCGTTGTATGTTAATTATTTCTGTTAATACAGTTTTGTTTTTTATGTTTATTGAATGTAATAGGCAAATATAGAAGACAAATATGTATTACTTTAAATAATGAAATTGATTGTGATGCTGTTTTCTAGGAAATTAAAATTGTAATATGTAATCTATTCTACAAGAGATAGGGAGTCTGTCCAAAGCTGGAGGCCAGGTACTTGGGGTTAGCCTCAGCCAAATTTGCAAGGGAGGGCCAGGACAGATATAGGCTGGTCGGGGTAGGCCGAAGTTAAATGTTATAATTATAAACTCCTGGACCATATTCACAGAGTCTTTCATGAAATTAAGTGTGAAATCAGGCATGTGATTAACATGGAGTTTTTTCTTAATTTACCGGAATTTAAGATAATTCCTTTGACCCTTATAGTTGTTTCAGTGATCTTAATATTTTTTCCTGAGAACAGGCAGAGAGGGAGGAAGCAGTGGACATTGATGAATAGTCAGATGGAGGTATAGACAGATGTAGGGATGGATGGATAGATATAGAAGGGAGACCCAGACCCAGGCAATGGCAGGTACCCCCCCAAGTATATAATATGCAAGAATACCATATTTGAAAAATGAAGCATTATGGCTTAGTGCTTTCAGACCCTCTCGGGTCCCATTTTAAAGACAAATAGGAGAACGGAAAGGAGAAAAATATAAGACCCACCCTGGGAACCAGTAAATGGGGTGGGGGTAAAGGGAACGATGAGATAAAAAAAAGGGTCATAAAATATGTAAACAAAAGTCAATCAGCGGGAAAAGGGATTAAGTAGTAGAACAAGGGAAGGAGGGGAAGAATACATGGAGAATAATAAAGAAATCTAGGAAGCAGGGAAGAATTGAAGGGGAAACCTAAAGAGAACAAAAAGGTAATGCAACAGTAGCTAAGGTAATGCAGAGCACAGAAATTGCATACAGGGACCTATTATACCTTACAACGAGAAGCCCCTAATACAGGGGCAGGGGGAATAAAACTACAGAAGTTTATATTTTCGTGCAATCTTTGAGACCAACAGAGGGTCCATTTTGAACAAACCTTGACTTAAGGGTAGCTGATTGGAACAGACTCGATCAAATTTCTTTCTGCAAATCCATTGCAATGAGCAATGCTTTTTGATAAGACTCCATTTGACAAGGGGAAGGAAAGGGAATTAGCAGGAGAAAGTGCCAAGCCATTATAACCTATATACTGTAGCACCTGGTACGAGATCAAGATAATGATTTGGGATGGGGACGGAGGGGTAAGGAATGGTGCCCATTCACTTGGATGGTAAGGGATTGAACACTGACCCAACATGAAGCGAGACCATCATTCTAATGTCCAGCCAAGGCAAGGTTAACATGTAGAAATATTGCATTAGATTGCTGTGCAGTGCTTATTGCATACAGTACTTATACAGTATTGGGAAAGGCATTTATCAAGATTTTTTCTGGTTTGCCCAGTGTACATAAGGTCAGTCCTTGCATGGCACAGAACACACACAGGTAGCGAAGGGCCTTGCAGCTGAGTGAACAGTGTTCTGGGGTCGTAATCCTAATGACCCAGGTTCAATCCCCAGCGAAGGTGGAAACAAATGGGCAGAGTTTCTTTCACCCTGGTGCTCCCTGTTATCTAGCAGTAAATAGGTACCTGGGAGTTAGACAGCTGCTATGGGCTGCTTCCTTGGGATGTGTGTGTGTGTTAGAGAGAAATATATGTACTGTAGTAGAAATAATAGAGGAAAAATATATTGGTTAGAAAGGTCGGGTCCAAGAGCTAATAGCTCGATTCTGCAGGTACAAATAGAAAATACACAACCTGTTAAGATAGTGGGCAAGTTCCAAATTAATATGGATTTTATGGTGTTATTATTTTTGAAAACTAAATTGCATTAAAAGACTTGAAAATTTAGAAAAGTTTAGTTAAATTACTTACTATTTATTATTTAAGGCATACCTTTTCTAGTTTTGGAATACATATACATACATACACATATACTTAGGTAGTATAATACTGTATTTGAACATAGAACAGACAATAACCAGACCCATTGTACCAGGTTGGTCTCGTAGAAAAGGAGTGGCTGGAGACTCTGGCTACCATTAATGCTGAACAAGTCACATTCACCGACTATGTGGATAAGGGAAGAGAACTGGCAACAATGCTCAAGAATCAGGTAAAATATAATTGAATTTGCATTTTCACATTTGAGTGTCACACAAGTGTGATCACTCTGATTCTTGCTTCAATTATAGCAGTTTTGAGATCAATAAACTCACACCAATCATGTAAGGTGTACAGTATTAAACTTATAGAATTTTTTTAATTTATTTTCAAAGTAGTCACCCTGAGATTACCAACGGATTTACCCGTTGGAGGGTAATTACCCGAGCGAGCCGGTCGGCCGAGCGGACAGCACGCTGGACTTGTGATCCTGTGGTCCCGGGTTCGATCCCAGGCGCCGGCGAGAAACAATGGGCAGAGTTTCTTTCACCCTATGCCCCTGTTACCTAGCAGTAAAATAGGTACCTGGGTGTTAGTCAGCTGTCACGGGCTGCTTCCTGGGGGTGGAGGCCTGGTCAAGGACCGGGCCGCGGGGACACTAAAAAGCTCCGAAATCATCTCAGGATCATCTCAAGATAACCCAAATTTGTGCAGCTTATGTATGCATCTTGTGAAGAGTGTTCACCTTGCATGTGTTTGGTTACTCTGAATGTTCTAAAATAATTAGTCTTATTCGAGTGTCATTGTCATGTAATAAGATCCAGGCATTTATCTACCACTTTTCTCATCAACAGCATACTACTAAGACTTCTCCAATATATTACTTATATCACTGACATGCCAAGTACTTTCAATCCTCCTTAAACCTAAGATGTTTGTTGATGACACTACCTTCATCTTCTATAGTCCCAAACTCCATACCCAAAGTGATTAGGTATACAGTACAGTGAATTATATAAAAAATTTCACTCATTAATGTCAACCAACATGCTCACATGAAACACTGAATGACCTACTACATTTTAAACCAAAATATTATTTAAGGGGTTATAAGACCGGAAATATGAGAGTTGTTATTTATACCATAAGTTATTTAATAACCATAACTTTTCACATGTTTTCACTGTAAAAGATAAAATTCAATACTGTAAATATTGATCAAGTCTTATTACAATCATGAAGTGTATAAATTAATTGTGACTGATCTAAATCAAGATGCATTTGCATTGTGACATATTTTTGCCTGGGAATACATTCTTTCTTGTACCCAAAATATTATTTTTTTTTTCCAAGGGCTGTGACTACGTGATTGCTTTAACTCACATGCGTACACCAAATGACATAAGACTAGCAGAGAACGTTGATGAGATTGACCTTATCTTGGGTGGCCACGATCACGTTTATGAAGTTGTTAAGGTAAGAGTACTCAAGTGTGGTCTGGTGTGTGTGTGTATGTGTATGTGTGTGTGTAATTACCTAAGTGTAATTACCTAAGTGTAGTTACAGGATGAGAGCTACGCTCGTGGTGTCCCGTGTTCCCAGCACTCTTTGTCATATAACGCTTTGAAACTACTGACGGTCTTGGCCTCCACCACCTTCTCACTTAACTTGTTCCAACCGTCTACCACTCTACGGTATTTGCGAAGGTGAATTTTCTTATATTTCTTCGGCATCTGTGTTTAGCTAGTTTAAATCTATGACCTCTTGTTCTTGAAGTGCCAGGTCTCAGGAAATCTTCCCTATCGATTTTATCAATTCCTGTTACTATTTTGTATGTAGTGATCATATCACCTCTTTTTCTTCTGTCTTCTAGTTTTGGCATGTTTAATGCTTCTAACCTCTCCTCGTAGCTCTTACCCTTCAGTTCTGGGAGCCACTTAGTAGCATGTCTTTGCACCTTTTCCAGTTTGTTGATGTGCTTCTTAAGATATGAGCACCACACAACAGCTGCATATTCTAGCTTTGGCCTAACAAAAGTCATGAACAATTTCTTTAGTATATCGCCATCCATGTATTTAAATGCAATTCTAAAGTTAGAAAGCATAGCATAGGCTCCTTGCACAATATTCTTTATGTGGTCCTCAGGTGATAGTTTTCTATCTAGATCCACCCCTAGATCTCTTTCTTTATCAGAATTCTTTAAAGATTTCTCACATAATATATAGGTTGTGTGGGGTCTATGTTCTCCTATTCCACATTCCATAACATGACATTTATTAACATTAAATTCCATTTGCCAAGTGGTGCTCCATCTACTTATTTTGTCCAGGTCTTCTTGAAGGGCATGACAATCATCTAAATTTCTTATCCTTCCTATTATCTTAGCATCATCAGCAAACATGTTCATATAATTCTGTATACCAACTGGTAGATCATTTATGTACACAATAAACATCACTGGTGCAAGAACTGAACCCTGTGGTACTCCACTTGTGACATTTCTCCAGTCCGATACATTGCCTCTGATTACTGCCCTCATTTTTCTATCAGTCAGAAATTGTTCATCCATGATAGAAGCTTACCTGTCACCCCTCCAATATTTTCCAGTTTCCAGAACAACCTCTTATGTGGAACTCTGTCGAAAGCCTTTTTTAGGTCCAGATAGATGCAGTCAACCCAACCATCTCTTTCCTGTAATATCTCTGTGGCTCGATCATAGAAACTGAGTAAATTCGATACACAGGATCTTCCAGATCGAAAACCATACTGTCTGTCTGATATTATATCATTTCTCTCTAGGTGTTCTACCCATTTAGTTTCGATTAGTTTTTCCAATACTTTCGCTATTACACTTGTCAATGATACAGGTCTATAATTGAGGGGGTCTTCCCTGCTGCCACTTTTGTAGATTGGAACTATGTTAGCCTGTTTCCACACGTCTGCTACGATTCCTGTACACAGGGATGCCTGAAAGATCAGGTGAAGTGGAATGCTGAGCTCAGATGCACATTCTCTCAGAACCCATGGTGAAACGCTATCTGGGCCAGCTGCTTTGTTCTTACCGAGCTCCTTGAGCATTTTTTCCACTTTGTCTCTAGTCACCTCTATGTGCTCTATGTTGTTCTCTGGAATTCAGGGTATTCATAATTTATTATCCTGATACATGTGAAAGGTGCTGCACCTAGGCCAAGTTTCAGCATCTCAGCCTAAATAGAGAAGAAAAAAAAAAAAAAAATTATACAATTTTTCAACAATGTTCAATTGCTTTCACAGCCCACAATTGTGAACCAAAATCATTTCTACGACACTCAGCCTTACCTTACTATATAATAAAGATTTGGTTGATCGATCTTTATCCCAGATGTATTTAGTGCAATAATACAGATTTTTAAAAGTTTCCCAAAAACGTATGCAACAAAATGAAGTGTATCATTATTTATAAAATCAATAAATCTACGTAGATAAGAAAAATATCAACCGTTTTTAGAGGCGTAAACTCTACATATAATGTGCAAGTTTCATGTAAATTGAATAATAAATAAAGGCTGTGAAGGCAGATCTAGTTGTAAAAGTTGGAGTTGCGTAGCGCGTGCGACAAGTTACTCTACTCGCGGTCACTCGTGACAATGCGTGTTTACGCATTGCGGCCAGCTTGTACCTTCTATGGAGAGCTCGCATGCATCTAGCTTTCAATGCTTTTCTCTTGTTCGTTTGGTAAGTCATATTGCAGTACAAATAGCATGAGTTCTGGGAGATAATGTGAGCGCGTCAGCATACATCCACTCCCCAAGAGAGACGCAAGTCACTGATGGGCTGAGCCACATACCACCCTCACTCTCACACGATACTGTTGCCAATGAGTGAGTTTATATTCATTTTATGCATAACATGTTATTTTCAACGCTATTACGAAAAATAAGACTTCTACAACGTAAGATACAATACCCCGCGGCGCACCTACGCCGCGAGGACCAGATTCACGAAAGTTGCAGCAGGAAATTTGACTCTAATTACGTTATTTTTCAAGATAAAATTAAACGGTTTGCACCACAGTGTTGCCAGAACGTTGTAGTATTTTTCGTAATTTTTCGTAAATATTCCATTTTTCTTCGGATTTTCGGGTACCATAACCCCTTAAAATAAACAATATAGACATTGAAAATACACAAAAGGAAATACAGTATATTTAAAAAGACTATACTGTAATGTACTTGTATAGTGACAACACACACTAACTTAACACTCATGTACAACACACACACACACACACACAAAAAAAAAAAGTATTCAAAACAGTTGAGATACTATAAAAACAAATAGTATGCACTTCTGTTCACTCCCCCCCCCCCTCTTCCCTCACTCTGATCTTTTGAAACTATGATATTTACTAATTTATTCATATTTAACTTACAATAACTGCATGGGGCTCAATCACCACAAACAACCTCAAATCTATCTTCACCCAGTGAAAATCATTTATCAGAACCATAATGTGATGTTTTCAAACAACATACAGCATCTTTGTTCAGACTTCTAAATGTGCAAAACACACACATATTGTATACATTCTCATGTGTTATTTACACTTACAAAGCTCTATACTGTACTCTAATGCTAACCCTAACTTGGAAATTCTTCCTAAGCTGATGAGACAAAGCCCTTGAATATTTGACACTCTGAGTCCGTCTTAATGTATGCAACTACACCATTCAAATTGAGAATGTACCTGTACTTTATTTTAGTTTATATGCCTGAAGAGAATGAGATGATGCTGGTTTGATCCTAATGTACAGCTTCCATATTTTCTCAAATACATCACATTCCATCATTGTGCAATGAGAAGATGAGTTTAATAACCAAAAATTATTTATACCATATCTATTTATGCTACAGTATTATGGTATTTATAACTATTTAATAACCATAAATTATTTATACCATAAGTTATTTAATAACCATAACTTTTCACATGTTTTCACTGTAAAAGATAAAATTCAATACTGTAAATATTGATCAAGTCTTATTACAATCATGAAGTGTATAAATTAATTGTGACTGATCTAAGCCAAGATGCATTTGCATTGTGACATATTTTTGCCTGTGAATACATTCTTTCTTGTACCCAAAATATTATTTTTTTTTTTCCAAGGGCTGTGACTACGTGATTGCTTTAACTCACATGCGTACACCAAATGACATAAGACTAGCAGAGAACGTTGATGAGATTGACCTTATCTTGGGTGGCCACGATCACGTTTATGAAGTTGTTAAGGTAAGAGTACTCTAGTGTGGTCTGGTGTGTGTATGTGTATGTGTATGTGTATGTGTATGTGTATGTGTGTGTGTGTGTGTGTGTGTGTGTGTGTGTGTGTGTGTGTGTGTGTGTGTGTGTGTGTGTGTACTCACCTATTGTGTATGTGTGTACTCACCTATTGTGTATGTGTATGTGTGTGTGTGTACTCACCTAGTGTGTGTGTGTGTGTAATTACCTAAGTGTAGTTACAGGATGAGAGCTACGCTCGTGGTGTCCCGTCTTCCCAGCACTCTTTGTCATATAACGCTTTGAAACTACTGACGGTCTTGGCCTCCACCACCTTCTCACTTAACTTATTCCAACCGTCTACCACTCTACGGTATTTGCGAAGGTGAATTTTCTTATATTTCTTCGGCATCTGTGTTTAGCTAGTTTAAATCTATGACCTCTTGTTCTTGAAGTGCCAGGTCTCAGGAAATCTTCCCTATCGATTTTATCAATTCCTGTTACTATTTTGTATGTAGTGATCATATCACCTCTTTTTCTTCTGTCTTCTAGTTTTGGCATGTTTAATGCTTCCAACCTCTCCTCGTAGCTCTTGCCCTTCAGTTCTGGGAGCCACTTCGTAGCATGTCTTTGCACCTTTTCCAGTTTGTTGATGTGCTTCTTAAGATATGGGCACCACACAACAACTGCATATTCTAGCTTTGGCCTAACAAAAGTCATGAACAATTTCTTTAGTATATCGCCATCCATGTATTTAAATGCAATTCTGAAGTTAGAAAGCATCGCATAGGCTCCTTGCACAATATTCTTTATGTGGTCCTCAGGTGATAGTTTTCTATCTAGAACCACCCCTAGATCTCTTTCTTTATCAGAATTCTTTAAAGATTTCTCACATAATGTATAGGTTGTATGGGGTCTATGTTCTCCTATTCCACATTCCATAACATGACATTTATTAACATTAAATTCCATTTGCCAGGTGGTGCTCCATATACTTATTTTGTCCAGTGTGTGTGTGTGTGTGTGTGTGTGTGTGTGTGTGTGTGTGTGTGTGTGTGTGTGTGTGTGTGTGTGTGTGTGTGTGTGTACTCACCTAGTTGTACTCACCTAGTTGTGCTTGCGGGGGTTGAGCTCTGGCTCTTTGGTCCTGCCTCTCAACTGTCAATCAACAGGTGTACAGGTTCCTGAGCCTATTGGGCTCTATCATATCTACACTTGAAACTGTGTATGGAGTCAGCCTCCACCACATCACTTCCTAATGTGTGTGTGTGTGTGTGTGTGGTTTAATCTTCATAAGAACACTATTTCATTGGAAGGATAGTAACAAAGAATCTTTTAATAAAGATATGTTATGAAGACAGGTTTGTATTCAATACTGTGGCTAATTTGTCGTGTTGTTACATTGTTGTTTATGATAATTTTACTACCTTTAATATACACATTGTGCTTGAAGTATTTAAGCAGTTTACATAATGAGTCAGTCATTTCTTTGCTATGATATCTTTTTACAAGATAATTTGTTAATTGAACAGGTTAAGTATATTGTTGTGTTGGGCTTTATTGCCCATGGCAGCAGTATAACAGAGGTAAGTAAAGAGGTGCTTGGTTATACTGTACTGTCACACTACCACTAGCAGTATATCAAGAGGTGCTGTTTACCTGAATTTACCCAAGGGCCACCAACACACTAGTGGCCTTGATGGGGACAGGTAGTTAGCGGCTTGTCAAAGACACCCCCCCCCCCTTTTTCCAGGTGATTTTATCCAGGAGGATTTTAAACTGCAGCAAAAATCTTGGCATTTACGGCTTGTTAGGCGGTTACAACCTCTCTAGGTGAAAAAGCACCCCTTGTTTTCGTTTTTTGTTTTCGCACCCCTTGTACAAATGCAATTTGTACAAATGCACGGTTTTCTATCCTACATTGCTCCTTGTATGTGTTACATTTGACATTTTATATTAGTAGTCTGGATTAATATCTTCCATGCAAACATGTCCGGTTTGCAGGGTTGTTAGTCCTGTGGTTCTCAACCGTTCCTGGTACGAGAGTCAACTTAGTTCTGGGATAATTTTTCTGAACTGGTCTTGAGCTTTTTCCAAAGCAGATGTGAGTATCTGAAGATGAGGTGTCTATATCTACTTGAATATAATAGTCCAAATGGAGACATACCAGAGAATTGTGCAGTTGAATAACTACCTTCTTTTCCTTGTAGTCAAAGGTGGGTAAAGTGGGTATAAAGAAAAAGAGGGTAGGCTAAAGCATAAGCCTACAAATTTACAATTTGGGTACAAATGCACTGTACAATTAAAACACATTCACACATGTACTTTGACTTAAAAGTAGCAAATTAGCTACTGTATTTAATTTTGATCATATAAATCATACTTTATACAGCATATGTTATATATATTGCAGATAAATGATAAGACCATTCTCAAAAGTGGCACAGACTTCAGGGAATTTTCAGTAATTACTCTATCTCAGGAAGGAGCCAATGTCAGTGTTGACATTGAGAAAGTTGTTGTAGACTCAAAGTTCGAACCAGATGAAGAACTAAAAGAAGCTCTTAAAGAATATGAATGTAAGTACAGTAAATTTAAGATACTTTAGAAAAAATAAATTGAGGTAGGTATAGGCCTATATTGAAAATAATATGCACTTATAATACTTGTCATCACAAACCATTTCCACTCATTCTTTAGCTTATGGCAGCACTGCCAAATCAAACTGATTTTTGTTATAAGGTGATGCAAAATGATTTTAGAGTACACATTTTGGAATTACAGCTGTGGTGGGTGAAAAAATGGAAGAGTCTCTCGGTACCTTCAGTGTGGAACTAGATGGAAGATTCTCTTCAATTCGCACATCAGAAACCAATTTAGGCAACTTTATATGTGACATCATCATGGCAGCTTGTAATGGAGATGTTGCAGTTATTAATTCCGGAACACTGAGGTCCGATAGAATTCACCCAGTTGGGGATTTCACGATGAGAGATTTAATGACAATTCTGCCAATGTTGGATCCTCTTATTGTCTTAGGAGTCACTGGTAAGTTTTGTATAATATGAATTATCTTTCCACTTTTGATGCCATGCAACAAATGTATGAATATGCATACTTAAGAGATACATCATACAGATTTATCCATTACCTGCATTACTAATTTGTTTTCCCATATGCTATAGGTGAAAAGCTTCTGGCTGTCCTTGAAAATGGGGTGTCTCAGTACCCAAAACTTGAAGGACGTTTTCCTCAAGTAGCTGGCATACAGTTCGTGTTTGATCCTGATGCTGAGCCAGGGTCAAGGGTGATTCCAGACTTGGTTAAGGTTGGGGACGAGTACCTGAACCCGGATACTGTTTATCGGTTTGTGACGAAGGCTTACATGCATCAGGGTAGAGATGGATACAATGTACTGATAGACTGTCCTATATTGGTAGGTTTCTATAATAATCATTTTGTTTAACTCTTAGAGAGTGCAGTGCTCTCAGTTGTGGGTCATCGCTATGCAGTTATTGAAATATTTGAAAACAAAATATGTATATAAATTTCTTTTTTTTGCAAAAAGTTAAAAAATGTCAATGCAAAAATCATTACACTTTTTGGATATATAGAATTTCAAATTAAATTCTGATACTGATATCAGTTCCCAAAATTTTGATAGTTACACCTTAATTTTGTATTTGATTTTCTAGTAAAATTGAGTAAAAACATCTTATTAAATATGGGTGAATGAAGAAAACTAAGAACCTGTCAAATAAATATTTGTGTAATGTGCCATTCATCTAATTAATGATTTTTTTTTATGTACAGTATAGTAATAAGGTTGACCATTTTTTTAGGTAATAATAACCAAAGATTACAAAGGTTGATAATTACAGTGATTTATAAGCAGTTTTCTTAAATTAAACTTAAATAGTGATAAACATCGTACAACATAAGCCAGATTCACCCGAATGAATCAAAATAAATCGCATGATGTAGGCTGTTGTCTGAAGGTCAATAGCAACTGGAAATATTTTCGGTACCATTTGAATTATATTTACATTGGTAATAAACTCAGATAACATGGAAAGGCTTAGTTCAAAAAATTTTAAGTTTTGCTGGGCCTATATACAGTACTGTACAATAATAATAATAATAATTTATTTAGGAAAAGTACATAAATAAGTTGCAGAGTTACAGTACAAACATTCTGTTTGATTTAAAGATAGAGGTAGTACATACAATACCTAAAGCCACTAGTACGCATAGTGTTTCGGGGAACAATTTATTATAATACCCTGTATAATAATATTTATTATAGAAAAAAATAAATATATTTATTAAAATTTATAATATTATAATATAATTAATGTTGCATGAATATTACTTTTTTATAATATTATAATATAATAATATATTTATAATACTATATATTATATTATTATAAATGTAATATGAGCGAGAGCGTAGATGAACGAGATTGCATAACTTAGCTCGTGAATTAAATGATTTATGAGATACTGTTGGGATATACTAACTGATATACTATTGCTTGGAACAGGATGCCTGTTAGGCTTATCTAGGTACTCATTGCTGTGGGTGAAGGGTGAAGCTATTCGCGCAGTCACTCCGAGTTGCCAAGAAACTAAAATCCCTTAGAGTTTGTGTGAATCTGTGATGTTTCAGAAGAAACCCTGTAACCTAGACGCAGCCGGTTGCTATACAGTACTGTATATAGTTACCGTATTTGCTATGACATCGAGCTTAAGCTTAATGTTGTAACAATGCATCGTATCTGCCAGTACAGTAAATACAAATTCACACAAATTAGATGATCTTTAATATTATTTGTCATTTGGAAGAAATACTGAAAATTTCCCTTCACACTAACATGCAATTTTTATTAAACATTACAGCAAGATGAAGAACAGTGTCCTATGTTGTCAACATCCATCCAGAATCATTTTACTGCCATCCAGTCACATATGGGCAAGACTCGACGAAACTCAACACACAGACAATCACTTGTACTGCTGTCCAGGAGGTAATGAAAGTCTAACCAATTAGCTACATAAAGAATTATCTTTGTTTTTGTGTGAATTTTTTACTGAGCACTTACTGTTTATTTCTTAACCATGCTAACACTTAAGGATGAGAGACTTATCTACTGTAAAGTTGTGTTATATTGATAAAGCTGACCCAAGTAATTTCCAAATAAATAATTGTTGTGTTGCTATCTTCCATGTAAGTCTATTGAAGCAATTTATGCATTTGATTAGTTAGAATGTGCCTAACATAATGCCGCATTTGACTATTAACACGGTTTTGCTTGGGTTCATTAGCACCTAATATATACCGACTAGACTACAAAATTTTAGTGCACCTTAATGGCTTTAAATAAAACCCTCACAGACACAGTCTCATCCGCCATGATGACGATATACCAGCAGCTGCCAGATCCACAACCCACAAGGCTATTGGCCGATCTGTGTCAACAGATTCTGCCTTATCATCTGTATCATCAGAGTCACTGTGAGTTCAATACCAAGTGATGTATGTGAATAAATGTATGAATTATTAAGATTATTTTACCATAGGTATTTTTTTTACATACAGTAAGGAAGAAGAGTAAGGATTTTGACAGTTTTTTACATAATATTTATGTAAATTTAGGTGCTGCAATGGCATAACAAGGGTAGGGTGAGAGAGGTGGTCTCCCTCAGGTAGCAACCAGAAATAAATTTTATTTTCAAGTTGGTATTCCCTTGTTTGAGTAACTAATGGTAATACTCCTGAAAATAAATTTGAAAGCTTTGACGAGATATAATAGTTTCCTTACAGTTCATGAAGAAAAATTTGTTTAGTGTTAGATCAACCCAACCCACACATGAAGAGACAAAATTGATGGCATTTCAGTCTATCCTGAGACCTTTATCTAGTTGCATTCTATCACTTTAATAAGGGGTCAAGGAAGATCCAAAATACAGTCACTTTCCTTCCTTTCCATATGTGGGTGTTGGGTTACTTATTTTCAGCCATGTAATTGAACCTTACTCTCTGAAGTGTCAGATTATTTAAAACAACTGCAGCAGTAATGAAGTGTCAATTAATTTTCCAATTTTATTCTGTCAAGAACATGAAATTTTCAAAAACCATTTCTGCTGGAATTTGACATTTATTTTAATTTGGTCACTTGCAACAGCTCGAGCAAGCGGTCACGCTTCAGCTCGTCAAGACAGGAGAGTTTCCACGAGCTAGAGGACCTAGCATGCAAATTAGCACCGAAAGTGGATGGGAGAATAATTATTGCCACTGATGAGGTGAGTGCATTCATTAAAATATATATTATAGAATTTTATACCTTATAGATGATCATACAGTATATATAATAAAATATTTTTAATATTATAAATATAGTGTTTAAAAGAAAAAATGGGTTTAATTACAATGTTGGCAAAATAGGTAGTACATTTGGGCTTCAATCTTAACTCACAATCAGGACCCCTTTGTTTTAAATCCCAGGTGGAACAGAAATAGTTGGGCATATTTCCGTTCACCCAATGCCTCTGTTCAGCAAGTAGTAAAGAGGTACCCAGGTATTAGTCAACTGTTGTGGGGTTGCATCCTGGAGGAAGTTTAGTAGTTCAAAGTTGGCAAGAGTGGGGGATTACTTTGATACAAGTCTAATGTATATACATGTACACAGGCTGCCTGTTCCCCAACAAAGTGAATTAATGGCACTTACCATGAACAGTATTTTGGCTACACCTTAAAATTAATTTGAATGATGGATATTACATTTTAGGGTAATATTTAATACCAAGAGATTTACCTTACCACATACACTGTATATCAACAAATTAAATAAAAATTAGGAAATTAAGCTAATAATTTAAAGTTTTCTGTAAATTGTCAAAATTAAGAGAAAAGAAGGCACCATGTCGGGAAGACTATGTAGCACAGTTGTCTAGAGTGATACTTATAAATGCCAAAGAGTGTAGACTACTGTATTCTAGATGCAGCTTTAGTGGTAAATATTAGCTTTAATAAATTTTTATTATTTTTCTATAAGGTTGCTAATCACGCATCGCGTTAAAGGAACATCCTACAATTAGCAGTATCGCTATGTGATCAAGTCAACCCATCCAAAATTATATTACAGCAACAATTGGTCAAATGGATAAAATTAACTTTTTTATTCCCAAAAATTCACATTTTGTATTATTGGATTATCTCAAATGGCAGGCTAAAAAGTGCAACAGTGATTATACAACCTAACCTAGCTTAGACCCAAATAAGCAATTTAGACCTAGTTTATGCCATGTGTCATTTAATACATAAAAGACCTAACTAGGGACTAGGAAAGTTTAGGTTTGTGTTGCCTACTTTCTTGTGCCCTCTACAAAATTAATAGTATACACCATGAACTTTCTTTGGGTGCAACAGTTCATAAGTTTAACCAATAGTTGCTGTAAGTACTGTACGGCACTATCACTTTCGGACGACAGGGATGGATAAAGTTGATGGCTTCAGACATGTTATTACTAATATGTAAGAAAGTTCAAGAAAATATAAGTGCTTATATGATGGAATATGAGTACAGGACAGGGCAATAACCCCATGGACATACAGGTGTAAGGATGTGGCAACTCCATCGCCTGTCAGCCAATGGTGAATGCTGCCCCACAGTCCCTGTGTTAAAGAATGTTGGGCTGGACATTCCTCTGCTTCATCTACTTCTGGCTAAAAGTCAGCAGTGAACAGTGAGCTAGTATCATAATTTGATTTGTTTATCATGCACACCTCCCCGTCTAGTGGGCAATGGTGGAAAGGTTAGTCGTGCACATTTACTTCCCAGTTAGCGAACTGGGGATATTTTGCTACTAGGAGATAAAAAGAAATGTGTGATGAATGTATGAGCAGTGTAACCTATAATCATAATATGGGGTGCATAATAAACTAGTTGCCACTGGTAGCAATACTCAGTCAAATTTCAAGGCTAAAGCCCAGGTGCCCCTCTGCTGGTTATAATAATGAGTACTTCACAGGATTACTATAATAATGAGCACTACAAGGCCATACTGTAGTAGAGAGTACTTCTGGGGACTTGCTTAATTGAAACTATTGAAGGGCTTCCTGATAGTAGTGAGTACTGCAGGGCCTCGCTAAATGGTCTCACTTTATACAGTACTGTCGAACCTCACTGCCGAAGGATCTCATCCTAGTACTGAGTTTTGCAAGATCACTATAGCATTGAATGCTAGAATGAAGAGTTTCACTCTAATGCAGATGAAGAGTCACAATAACGTAGCTGAAAAATGTTGACCAAACCACACACTATAAAGTGAAAAGATAATGACGTTTTGGTCCGTCTTGGACCATTATCAAGTCGATTACAATCGTCTTGATAATGGTCCAGGACGGACCGAAAGGTCGTCGTCTCTTCACTTTCTAGTGTGTGGTTTGGTAAACAAAGGTTTCATTCTAATATTCAGTTTTATATGAGCTCACTATACCAGTGAGCACTATATACTGAAGTGTCTAGTAATTAACATTGCAGGTCCTCAATAACAAGCATTTATTGCTTTTACCCTCTAAAATTCAGCTACAGTATTTTTTCAGTCAAGTTAATACTCACTTAAAATTAAGTAGAGATCCTGAATACTATACTGTATAAACGGTAATTTTGTATAAAAATGTTCATTCATTTGTTTAAAGAATTTTTTTACCAACACATACAAACATAAAATTGATCTAAATAACTGTTGTTATTTTGCTAAAATTATGATTGTTGCCAAGTTATACATAATCAGAAATGTTTATAACAATATATTTAGTCATTTCTTAAAATACAAATACAGTACTGTATTGAATTTTTTTCTGGAACTACATTAGCACATGTTTATATTTCTAGCAATAAATGTGTAACTTTTTCAACTGTACTGCCAACGTTGACCTGTTTTTCTGCTGTTTTTGTTTCTGCTACATGTACCTAAAACCCCTACCCCCCAATCCCCCTTACTCCAGACCATCATTACCCGGCTAAGAGCCCAGAGGGCCCTTGAATGTGACATCCCAGAAGAGGAGAGAGAAGCATAGATTTACAGGTAGAATAGTCAAGTTGAATTATGAGCTATGGTGAAGGGTTATGATCCAGGCCATGTTTATGATGCTAACTTCTTAACTGAAAGATAACTTTGAATAATATTTTGAAATAATACTTCCATTGAGTTCTGCGTAGACTATTTATGACTGGTTAAAAAGTAACTTAAGGTAATACAAGTCACATTGTAGGAATTTTTTTTTAACTGTACTCATTGATTTGATAATCACTTTATTGCAGTAAATTGATAATCATTTTCACTCCATTTCCTACTTTCATGGTGAAGGTAATTGTTAACTATGTTAATTAGCTTCAGTCTTATTACTATTGGAAATTTTAAATATTTTAATTGATTACCAAATTCTCTAGTGGTGAAAGATAACAATTTTGAGTATCAGGTTTATTTACCTATACACTGAAGATAAGTATTGTTTCATTGAAAATGTACATGGCCTAATTATGAAACTCTCAACATTTCCAGTCAAAGTAGATGTTAATATGTGTTTTGCCCTAAAAGGTAAACATGGCCTTGTTCAATTTTTTTTTCTATTTCTGGAATATCTCTCTCTAGCTCTTGGTGACAATTACCAGTTATAGGGGCAGAAACGACCTAATTACAGTACAAATGTTGACACTTAAGAGGCATGTAATAAAGTACTGCACTATGGTGACTAACAACATACAAGTTTCTGTCCCTGTAGGGTAATTTATGCCAAAATATATTTCTCCGTTACTTAAGGGAAACCTATGACCTCCTTTAGTCTTATTTGATCTGGCCTAGGCAATTCTTGTATGGCAAAAAGAAGGGGGATTGTTTGCACAGCTATTCGTTGGTACAAGGGAAGCATTGTATTACTATATTTACTGTAATCCTACTCTTCACCACTTGGGCTTTTTCTTGTTTCTGAATTTCTCTCATTTTTTTTTTTTTTTTTTAAACTGCCATCTAAGTAATTTTAATAATTAATTTACAGTATGTAATCACTTAGTTTGCAGCATGAGCTATAGCAACTTTTTTTTTTAATGCTGACATGGTATGCTATCCGGAAATACATAAAAAAAAATTCGCATTTCAGTAGGTACTGTACTCGAAAAATGAAAGTTGATGAAGTGGTATTAGATATGAATTGCACAGAATGATGTATTTTGTTTTGTATTAATGCCTCAGAACTGTCTCGTGTGGGTAATAGACCTCCTGCAGTTACCTTCATTCTTATGTTCTTATGTTTTTAATAAATTGTATTTCTAATTTTGTACTTGTTGATTTGGAATATATGTACTCTCTGTTGATGAATAAGGTCTTTTAGTTCATTTAAAATAGAGATGTTGAGAGCCCTTTCCTGGGAATCGGCACAAGATGACTGAAGCCAGTCCTTTTTGAATATTGAAGTTTCCTAAAAAGATGACTTTATTGCTAGGACAAGGTGACAAAAAAAAAAAAATCTGACCCATGAGCAAGATACTCAAAGGAATCAGAAGTTTGGGTAGGATAGGATAGCATCATTATCTTATTTACACACGTTTCCCAATTTTGTGGGGTGGGAAGGCATAATCCTAGAAAAACCTAGAGTTGATTGTAATGAAATGCCTCTTTCTAGAGGAACTGTGGTGACTTCCTGAAGCTATCTTGCTGAGATTGCTCCATTCTAAAAGGTCACAATAGTAGTGTTCTGTTTGGCCTGCCGGGGACCAGAACCAAGACCTGGCTTCTCCTCAGAGGTACAAAGAGTTAGCGACAGTTCACTATGCCACTGAAAAAACACCAGAAAAAACTCCAGGGGTGCCATAAGCATAATCAGAGAACACTGTATAAACATTAGAGGTCCACAGTTGTTCAACATCCTCCCAGAGAGTATAAGAAATATTGTTGGAACAATCGTTGATCTCTTCAGGAGAAAACTAGATAGTTTTCTTCAAGAAGTGCCGGACCAACCGGGCTGTGGTGGATATGTGGGCCTGTGGGCTGCTCCAAGCAACAGCTTGTTGGATCAAGCTCTCACAAGTCAAACCTGGCCTCGGGCTGGGGTTGGGGAGTAGAAGAACTCCCAGAACCCCATCAAGCAGGTATCAAGCAGATTAGAGAAACTGATATACTTAGTCTTCCACCTTGCCTATCGGATGTCTTGAGGTTGGGTAGGCCAGAAGCAAATATGGTAAGAATAACCATTGCAAATTTTGAGCACAGAAGGAAGATACTAAAACATGCCCACAAACTCAAAGATCTCGAGGGGGTATAATCAAGTATATATACTATATCTGCAGACCTCGCTATAGAGTAGCAAAAAAATGACAGTGTGCTAAGAGGCAAACTGAAGGCGTTAAGAAACACAGAATGATACAAAAATGCACAGCTAAAGATCAGGAGAGTTCAGGTTTTCCAGATTGCCGACAGGGAAAAAGTCAAAACCCTTTACCCAATCAGGCAGAGCTAAATCTATATACAGTACTGTATCTCGGATGACAAACAGGTTCGGAACCAGAGCGGAAATATACAGATTAGTACTGTAATGTGCTAAATACAGAAATCTAACCCCCCCCCCAGGAATAATTTCAGGAGTTTAAGTTGTTTCAACACAAATGCAAGAAGCCTAATAAATAAATTTGACTCATTATGTGCATATACTGTACCGAGGCTGAAAATCCCGACATTATTCGGATTGGTGAAACATGGGGTCGAGGGGACAAATAGAAGGTAAATTCTATCTCCTAGAATACCACCCACCATTCAGAAAGGACAGAACAACAAGAGCAGGTGGGTTGATACTGTATGTGAAAGAAGACCTGGACGCTATCAACAATGAGAATCTGAACACCATGGGTTCCTTAAAAGTCAGTATGGTGCAACATACAATGGTAGCAAAATGACCATGAGAGTATGCTACAGGGCTGACACAGCAGCAGAAGAAGAAATTACGGATTTGCATAATGTGATCAATGCAGCATCTGAAACTCAAGCCCCTAATGATGGGGAACTTTAACCACGAGATCATAGATTGGATCAACCTAACATCACAAGCAGAGGGCGAACAATTTCTGGACCTTGTGCAGGACTCCTTTCTCGTATAACATGTGGTAGAGCCCATACGTGGGAACAGTATACTAGATCTTGTGAAAAAATCCTCAAGGGCCGTGATGAGGGTTTGAACCCTCATTTTGTGCCGACTACAGAAGAGGGTATGATTGATCAAATTCATGTGGGGGGGAACAGCTAACCCCCCTCGTGCGACCACCATATTTTAAGATGGATTACGAATATAGAAACCCACATAAAGGTCATAGGTAAGGAATTTCTAGATTACCAGCGAGGTGACTATGATGGAATGAGAGAGAAACTGCAAACCATCTCTTGGAGAGGGAGCTGAAGGGCAAACATGGCATGGAAGCATCATGGCAAAATATCAAGAGGTTCATCACGGAACTCGTTCAAAAATATGTGCCAAAGAGAAGGAAGACAAGAAAGAGAACTCGATGGATGACACAGGTTGTAAAACAAGCATTGGTGCCCAATAGGAACCTCTGGAGAATGTATAAATCCATGATGGACGTCATTGATTATGAGCTATACAAAAGGGCACTAAACTTGGTCACTCAGAAAATCGGATCACCCAAAAGAAACCACGAAAGAAAAATTGCCCAAAACATAAAGAAAGATCCAAAATCATTCTATGTCTATATAAGAGGTAAAACCAAATCAAAGGACTCAGTTGGACCCTTAATAGATCAGACTAACCAAGCTATAATGGATGATAAAAGGGCATCAAACACTAAATTATCATTTTACATCAGTGTTTAGACTCGAAAGGTTGGATGACATCCCAGTGCCCACACAAATGTTTGAAGGAAACAAATGTTTGAGAGGAGGAAAATGAATTTAGGGATATACCTATAACATCTTATCTTGAGATGATTTCGGGGCTTTTAGTGTTCCCGCGGCCCGGTCCTCGACCAGGCCTCCACCCCCAGGAAGCAGCCCGTGACAGCTGACTAACATCCAGGTACCTATTTTACTGCTAGGTAACAGGGGCATAGGGTGAAAGAAACTCTGCCCATTGTTTCTCGCCGGCGCCTGGGATCGAACCCAGGACCACAGGATCACAAGTCCAGTGTGCTGTCCGCTCGGCTGACCGGCTCCCTTGCATGCAAGGGAGCCAGAACATG